CAGCTGCCCTGTGCTGCCAGCTCCCGCTCTGATCTCTGCCCGATGGCAAAGGCATGGGGCATTCTACACAGGATTTTGGGAATAATTACAGGTGTTTTGGGTGGCAGGCATGGGATGCTTTCCACAGGATTTTGGGAGTAGTTACAGGTGTTTTGGGTGGCAGGCATGGGATGCTTTCCACAGGATTTTGGGAGTAGTTACAGGTGTTTTGGGTGGCAGGCACGGGATGCTTCCCACAGGATTTTGGGAGTAGTTACAGGTGTTTTGGGTGGCAGGCACGGGATGCTTTCCACAGGATTTTGGGAGTAGTTACAGGTGTTTTGGGTGGCGTTTCCCCCGGTGCTGCTGCCTGAGGAAGGCCCACCAGGGCTGCAGTCCGTGCTGCTGCTGCAGTGTTCAAGAGGCCAGGACGTGTCACCTCTGCCACCTTCCCAGGCTTCTGGGATTTGTTCCTGGTCTTTTATTTTATAGAGGGCTGCGTGCTGCAATGCCAAGGGAAACTGAATTATTAATGAAAAACAAGTTGGAAAGATAATCTTGCTGCTGTTTCTGGTGGCCCCTGGCCTGGCTCCCTGCTTGAGGACGGGCTCTGCAAGGCTGTTGCTGATGCCAGCCACATCCTCGCCCTGAGCAGAGGCTGGAAAATGCCCGGCCCAGCCTGCAGAGCCTGCCAGGCCCTTGCTGCTTGTGGAAGGCCTTTCCAGGGCGATGCTGCCTCACGGAAGCTGCTCTCCATCACTTTTCCAGCTGCAGATGCTGCCACAGCTGGAGCCAGGGATGCAGATCTGTTTGCTCACCGAGCACTTGGTGGCTCTGCTCTCACCTTGTATTTGCTGGAGATTTTTTGTCTTTTCAGGGTTGTAGGTTTGGGGTTTTTTCCCCAGGGTCTCCCTTGCTTTCAGTGCCCTGTTCAGCTGTTAAAGGTGGGCTTTCCTGAGCAAGTTTGCTCTGTGCCCTGGGGGTGGCACCTGCTGGGAGGTGCCTCAGCTCCTCCTGTCCCTGCCGGGGCTGTCACAGACCCCAGCCCTGGGACACAGAGCCAGGCGTGCTGCACAGCCCAGCGCCAGGATGAGCTGCCCTGCTTTTAATCAAGCAATGCTTTTGTTGGATGAAGCTCATATTCTCCATCCTTATCACTGGCTTGTGCATCCTTGGGATCTCCATCTGATCTCTGAACAAACCCTGCCCCAGGATATTAATGTTGTACAGCTGCCCGCAGTTCCTGAGGCCCCTTTCCCTTCTTGAGCCAGTGAAGAGGAGAAGTTTAGATGATAAACAACATTAAGGGACTGTTTGTGCCATTTTTCCTCCAAATTGACTCTCTCATTAGAAATCCACCTCGTGTCTGTGCTGCCACAGCTCCGGAGGTGAGGGGGCTCTGCTTCCAGGGCTGAAGGAAGTTTTGGAGGGCAGATTGCTCACCCTGAAGGGGCAGTGGGGTTTGCAGTTAACTCTGCAGGTGCTGGGAGGTCTGTGCCAAGCTGAGGTACCGCTGGGCAGCCTGGGCTGCAGCCAGCTGCTGAGGGAGCCCTGCCAGCTCCCCGGGCTTGTTCCTTGGCAAACCAGCTCCATTCCCAGATGGAAAGGGGGAGTGCCCATCCCACCAGTGCTCGTGTACCTGCAGATGCACAGCCTGCCCTGGCACAGCACTGCCAGCCTCCCCTGGCCCTGAGTCGCTCCGGTTCTCCCTCAGTGGCCTCTCCTGGGAGCACCTGCAGCATGGGGCCCGGTGGGGTGTCCAGCTGGGAAGCAGCTCCCTGGGGACTCTCGGGGACACCGGGGAGCAGGGGGACGCGCCGTGACCGCTTGCTGCTCCTGTCCCCAGCTGATGACCAAGCACCCCGCCAAGCGCCTGGGCTGCGGCCCCGAGGGGGAGCGGGACATCAAGGAGCACGCCTTCTTCCGCTACATCGACTGGGACAAGCTGGAGCGCAAGGAGATCCAGCCCCCCTTCAAGCCAAAGGCTGTAAGTGTGCCAGGGCCCCGGGGCAGTGCCAGGGTTCCTCTGGGGTCCCAGTGCCAGGGCTCCAGTGTCCCAGTGCCAGTGCCCCCGGGACAGTGCTGGGATACCAGTGTCCCACTGCCAGGTCCCTCATGCCCCTCAGTGTTCCACTGCCAGGTCCCTTCACTGTCCCACTGCCAGGTCCCACTGCCAGATCCTTCACTGTCCCACTTCCAGGTCCCCCAATGTCCCACTGCCAGCCCCCCTGGGACAGTGCCAGGTCCTTCAGTGTCCCACTGCCAGGTCCCCTCACTGTCCCACTGCCAGGTGCCCTCAGGGCCTGTCCCAGCCCCGCTGGCTGCTGCTCCTCCTGGCAGCCCCTGTCTCCTTGTGGCCGTGTCCCCTGGCACCTGGCAGCTCCGCTGGGGCAGGAGCAGTCCCTGGTGCCCGGTCCCAGCTCTGTCTTTCGGGTGTGGGAGCTCCCCACTTTCAGTTCCTGGACCCCTCTGGGTTGCAGCCTGTCTGTTTTGTCACCTGTCGGTCTGTTGGGTTTTTCCTCCCTTTTTCTCAGATCTTTCTTTTCTGTAATCCCACCTTTATTTTGCTGCCCAGCTCAGCTCAGTGTGCCTGGGGGGCAGCGGAGCTGGGTTTCAGCACAGCCTCTCTCCAGCTGGGAGGGGGCTGAGCCTGGCTCCAGGACCCCCTGGCTGCTGCTCCCCAGCCCAGCCTGGCTCTGCTGGGAGAAGAGCCGGGGGTGCAGCTGGGGGGACAGGCAAACCCAGTGGAGGCAGCAGCGATGGGAGCTGTTTGGCAGAGACGGGAATGCTGGGGTGCTCCTTGTCCCCGTGTCTGCAGTGACACCAGTGCAGGGGTGTCCCTGCCCACAGTGTGTCCCCAAACTGCCTGACCCGTGCTGTCCCTGCTCTCCCTGCCCTTATGCACACGTGGGAGCAGGGATGTCCCTCCTGGATGTCTCTGTTTCTCTCTCTTTGTCACTGGGGGGCCGGCAGGGTCACAGCAGTGCCCAAATCCCTCTGTGGTGCTCCAAGTCCTCGAGGCTTGCATTGTTCTGTGCTTCCCCTGGGTGCCCTGGCTGCAGGGCCCCAGCTGGGCACTGGTGCTTCCCAGAGAGCTGAATGCACCCCGGATCTGCTCTCGTGGCTGACATCTGTGATCGGTGTGGGGACATTCCTTAATCCTCCTCCAGGTCAGCTCAGAGGCCGGGAGTGCTCCGTGTGTTCTCCTGCAGCCTGCCTGTCCCTCTGCCCATAACAACCTTCCTTTTCCTCTGCTTTACAGATGCCCTGCTCCTTTGAGTGCTTGGAAAAACTCTGCTTTCAGGGAAAACGTGCACTGGGAGTTCCTTTGCTGGAGGGTGCTCGGTGCCTTTAGCTCTGCTCTGTCTCTGTGCCTCTCTGCTCCAGCAGGTTTTTCCCTCCCACAGCTCCTCTCCTGGCTGATCCCGGCGCAGTGAAACCCCTGTGGTGGCTGGCAGAGCCTCCACAGCCCCAGGGATGGGGCAGGGGTGCTGCCCTGGGGAGCTGCCCCTCACCCCGGGGCTGCCCTGCCTGTGTCTGGGGCTGCTGGCCGGATTTCGGGCAGATGTTTTTCGGCAGGCTCCCCTTTGCAGGGTGCTGTCCTTGCTGAGAGCTGCCCTGCTGGGTGAGAGCTGTGCCCACGCTCAGAGGGGCAGGGGCTGCTCTCCCTCCTGCCCAGAACGGGCAGGCACGGGGTGGGCAGTGCAGGAGCCCGGGTTTCTGCTGCTCCCCTTTCCCTGGAGGGCAGGGAGCCCTCAGGGCTCTGCACCAGTAAGGACCAGCCTTACTGGGAGAGCTTTGGTATTCAGTGCAGCGCTCTGAAAGGTTTGGGGCTGTTTGAGCCCCGTGATTTGTCTGGGGGTGGGCTCTGAGCCTTGTGCCAGGGATGCTGAGGTACAAGGGGGATCCAGGAGCTCCAGCTCTGGAGGGATCCTGCTCCATACCCGGCTTCACTCAAGGGGCACCACTGGGTTGTTCTGCACAAGTCCCTGTCTCCTGAATCCGTAGCTTCTGCCATCTCCCACCTCTGTGTCCATTTGCCAGTGGAGCTGCTGCTGCTGTGTCCCTGCACCCATCTCTCTCCTCTGAGGACTCCCCAGTGCCACTGCCTGCCCTGGGCAGGGGCAGAGCGTTTGGTGCTTTGCAGTGAAAAACAACTGAATTCCATCAAATCACTTCCTTACTGCTCTGCTGCTTTAAACTCTGCAAATGCTGTGCTGTTTTAAATGTCTCCTCTCTTTAGAAATCCCTCTGACACCAGCCCTGGGAGGGGAGGGGGACTCTAAGCTGCCGGCTGTCGCTTCACAAAAATTCTCTGTTTGATAGGACAGGGAGATTAACAGCAGCTGATTTGGGATTTAGGGAGGATTAAGACAACTCAGGTACCTGCTGATAGCTGATATTTCCCCAGCAGTGCCTCTGTGCTGGGAAAAGCTGTTTCTGTGGTGCCAGCCGTGAGCACAGGGATGGGAGCGGGGCTTGGACACTGCTCGGAGGTTTGGGGGTGACAGGGGGGATGTGGCCCAGTGCTGGTGACCTGGGGCTGCCCTGGTGGCCACACCAGAGCCAAGTGCTGCTGCACACAGGGCTGCTGCTGGCCTGGCTCTTTGCCTTGGCTTAAGTCTATCTTGTTTTCCTTTTATTTTTTTACAGTTAGCATCTGTAAAGGTCAGGCTGCAGTAATTGTCTGTACCCAGAGCTTCAAAACAAGGAATAAGATGTAAATGAGGGTTGGGAGCCAGTCCCTGCCTGTCTCCAGCCTTCCCCTTCTGCAGTCCCTGCTCAGGCCTGGGATCAGCAGCCCGGGGAGCAGAGCCCACCCAAATTGTCCCCAGGCTCGCTGTGCCCCTCAGAGGCACCAGGAGCTGGTGTTGGGGTGAGCTCAGGAGCTGGTGTTGGGGTGAGCTCAGCCCCTCCTGGAGCCTCAGAGCCCTGTGCTGCAGCAGCCACCATCTCCTGGCCACGTCCCCGTGGCTCTGCGGCCCCTCTGCAGTCGGGGCTGGGGCTCAGGGGGTTCCTGGGGGTTCCTGGGGGTCCCGGGGGTCCCGGGGGTCCCAGTGCCTGCCCAGCCCTGCTGCTGGGGAGGGATCCACGCCCTGCCAGCAGCTCCATCACTCCCAGCCCGCGCCTGGCCGCAGCTCAGAGCCAATTCCCCAATTCCCAGGAGCTCCTGAGCTGCTTTGAGCTTGATTAACCTTTATCACAGAGCAGGAATGAGACAGAGCAGGGGCTGCCTTGTCTTTGGTGCTTCTGACGTGGGGCTCTGCTTGGCTGCTCCCTGCTCTGGCTGGTGCATAACAATTCCTTTCCTGGGTCTGCAGTTACCCTGGGAGTGTATTTACACTCCCCTGCTCTCCCTGTCTCTTGTTGAGATAATTATTGTTTTTGGTATCTAATTACTCCTTTACTTTACATAAAGCCTAGTGATTTGAAAAGTCTCATTTTGAAAGTACTGAAATCACACAGCAGAGCCCAGGATTATTCACAACAGCATGGGTGGGGGGGGGTTAAAAATGGCTTTTAATCTAATAATTTTAATTGCATAAATTAATTTCCCCCTAACTGCTGGGAGTTAATTAATATTGAAAGGCCACTTACAGACCTGGCTGTGTAGAAACAGCAGCTCCATGCACGGGGGGCTTTGTACCTTAGCTCAGCCTGTGCAGGGCGAGTTCTAACATTTGCATAAGTCATTTCCTAATTAGTTGGGATTTAAGGATTGTGGGGCTGACGCTGGCCAGGTGGATGTGCTGAGGTCAAACACCTCTGCTGATCCAGGCAGGGCTTGCTCTGGGAGAGCCGGGGTGCTGCAGAGACCCTGGCATTCCCCAGACTGTTTGTTCAGCCCCGTTTTTGGGGATGGGGCAGGAGCTTGGCTTTCTCCTGAGGGGAGGGAGGGTCCCACAGCAGGAGCCCTCGCAGTGGGAGCTGCTTTCGGCAGCAGCAGGGATCAAGGACGTGCTGGAGCATCCCAAATGGAACAAACACAAGTGGAAGGCCCCACTGACCCCTGGCCAGCACAGGCACCCCAGTGTGGCCCAGGGCCGTGCTGTGACCCAAATCCCCCTGGCTGAGACTGCCAGAAGAGCCCTGGTCCTGCCCGGGGAGCAAGGAGCCAATTTCCAGCCCAGAGCAGCACCAGGAAGGTCAGACCTGCCCGGAGATCCTGCAAGGTGGGATTGTGGCTGTGCCACTGGTCTGGGACAAAAGCCTGGGAAATCGAGGCTGTCCAGCACCTCCCCTTGGTGTGGGAACCAGGGCGGGTGGCTGCAGCATCCTCAGCTTCTTATGCTCCTTGATTGCATCCCAGGGATCAATGGCAAATATTTTATTGTGCCTTTTGTCTCTATTTGAAATCAGGCAGGGAGGTGATTAAATACCCGGCCATCTTTGGAGCTGACAGGTTTATTTCTGCAGCTCAGGAGGAAAAGCCACTCTGTGCTGGCTATAAATATTAGACAGGACACCCCGGGATTTATGTGAGATAAATTCCCACCCTCCCCCTTCCCCCAGTCAGGATGGAGGGACGCCTGCACAGGAATATCAGACTAAAATGAGGAGTTTCTCACGAGATGGCTTTAGATAAATGTGAATATCATATGGCATCCGTGTCCCTTGAGCAGGGGCTCAGTTTGGGAAGCTGTAGAGGAGGTGCCTGTGCAGGCAGTGACCTTTGCTGCCTGCAGCAGCAGCATCCTCCCTGCTTCCCTCACCCAAACCTGGAGCCTGGAGCTCCCCTCCTCCAGGCCTCGGGCTGGGCTGGGCCCTCTGTAAACTCAAGGGCAGCTTTCAGCTGTAAAGTACTGATTTTACCCATCCATTTTATCTGCAGCCAAACAGAAAGTCCAGAAATTCCACACAGCCAGGCAGGAAATACCATGGATAGATGCAACTTTTCAAATTTTCCATCCACACACTCTTACCTCACCGCGTGATAGTGAGAAATCCCTGCTTGCCAATTTCATATTAAAATATATTTGTGCTTCCTATTCCAATAACTGGCAGCCTCTCATCAGCATTCATTTTCCAATCCTTCTGAGGGGCTTGCTGGTTTGATTGTTTAATTTTAATTTCTTTTCTAAGACAGCACATTTCTCTGTAGCCACAAGGCAGGCAGCACTGTCAGACACGGCACGGGGGCTGCCCTGAGGCTGCCAGGGGATGCCAGGGGATGCCAGCGGGGCTGGGGGCCCTGGGAGGCTCTGGGGGTGCCCTGGGAGCTCTGGGGGTGCCCTGGCAGCTGTTGGGGTGTCCTGGGAGACTCTGGGGGTACCCTGGGAGCTGTTGGGGTGCCCTGGGAGGCTCTAGGGGTACCCTGGGAGCTCTGGGGATGCCCTGGGAGCTCTGGGGATGCCCTGCAAGGCTCTGGGGATGCCCTGGCAGCTGCTGGGCTTGGAGATGAGCCCTGCAGGGCTGGCACAACCCAGATGAGCTGCCCCTGGCGAGCCCAGCCTGGCTTCTGGTGCCCTCCTTTGGCCCCTGGGCACTGTGGAGCTGGCAGCTCCCACCTGCAGGGTTCAGGTGCTGTTTTGGGGGTGATGCAGTGGCCTGGGGAAGGCACTGGGCTGTGGCTGACTCCTCAGACACCCCAAACCTCCTCCTGCTCAGCCCCCAGGCTGGGCTGATCCCGTGCTGTGGAGCAGCCCAGGCCCTGGGGAGCTGGAGTAGAACCAGGCCATGGAAATGCCATGACGTGGTGGTGCCAAGGCAAGGGTAGCACGGTGCCCACGCTGGGGGGCTGGAGCTGGAGCTAAATCCACTCAAACCTCGCTCCTTGAGTTTGGGCAGAGGTTTGAGCAGAGCCAAAGCAACAGCCCACCAGAGGCTGATGGATGTTCTTGTTGCCTTCCCTGAAAGCTCTGAGCAGAGGAAGGAGCTGGGAAACATTGACTTCTGCATGTATTTGTCATTAATATTTTATTGCACTTAATCTGACGTTTATTAAAAATGCAAATCTGTTTACTTAACAAATGGAAGTTAAATGGCCAGGAAAAGCTGTGGCAGCGCTTGGAGCGGGTGGGTGCTCCCCTGGGGTGGTGGCAGAGGCCCGGGGGGCTGGAGGTGCTGCCTGAGCAGCTCCTCTGAGGAACCAGAGCCTGCAGAGCTCTGGCTGGGTGTGACAGCGGGGACAGTGCCAGCCTTGCAGCAAATCCCCGCTGCCAGCCGTGGGGATGTGGCACGTGGGTGCCAGCAGGGATGGAGCCTGCTCTGTGGCTGTGCAGTGACCTGGCATCCACCTGATCCCTGCTGCTGCTGTTCCCCTAAATCAGGCTCTGCCCTGGGGAGCTGCAGGACCCTCGTTCCGCTTGCTAAGAAAATTTAATCAGGTTTTTGGCACCACTGGGCACCGTGGAGGTTGGACTGCAGGGGAGGGGCAGCCCTGGGAATCAGCACCATGAATCCCAGACTGGTTTGGGTTGGAAGGGACCTTAAATCCCATCCAGTGCCAGCCTGCCATGGCAGGGACACCCTCCAGTGCCCCTGTGCCGCCTGGCCCTGGGCACTGCCAGGGGTGGGTCCTCTCCTCTCCTGGAGCAGTGCAGGCAGGATGGAGCCCCCCTGCTCTGGACACCCCTGGGAAGGGGGGATGCCAGGAGTGTGTGGGCAGAGCACCACGAGCCAGCGCAGCCCGTCTCATTCCTGCTGCATTCCATGGCACAGCGGGGTCTGCCAGGCCTGGCTGTGCCACGCTCTCAGTGCTCAGGAGCACACAGAATCACAGGGTATCATTATTGCAGCTGCTCTTATTGAGAGCTCTGGGAATGAGGGTACAGACCCAAACCTGACCCCGACACGGCTTTTGAGCTGAACGTATTTTATAGTCTATCCTTATATAACTTACGTATTCATTATTAAACTTATATTGCTCTATTGTATACATTGACTTTATTAGAGCATGAGTTTCTCATGACCTTTCTTAGGCCCCTGACCACAGTTTCTCATGATTTTTCTTAATTATATTTAATTACTAACCAATCATCACATCTAACAATTATATCATTTACCATGCACTAGCTACACAGGTGCAGTTCTAGCATTGTACAAGGCCTACATGTACCCAGGGTATTTTTTCAGGGCCTACCAAGCTTAATTTTCCTTCTAACCCTAAACCCCCATGATTTTAAAACCCTTTTACTATCAATGCCATGCCATGCCATGCTGTGCTGTGCCATGCTGTGCCGTGCCACGCCATGCCATGCCGTGCTGTGCCATGCCATGCCATGCCCTCGTGACTAACAAAGCGTGTTGTGAGCTTGCCCGTGCTGCAGCCCATGCCACGCTTCCTGCCCACCCACCACCGTTCTTCTCTCCTCTCATAGTGCGGCCGCGACGCTGAAAACTTCGACCGGTTTTTCACCCGCCACCCGCCCGTGCTAACGCCTCCCGACCAGGAAGTCGTCGGGAACATTGACCAGTCAGAATTCGAAGGGTTTTCCTTCGTTAACTCTGAGTTTTTTAAGCCTCAAGCCAAGAGCTAAGTTGCTGTGCAGATCTCATCCCTGCATCGTCGGTTCCAGCCGCTGTTGTGGTGACATTCCATCGCAGAACTCGCATCCATGGCCTTGCTTTAGTGACCACATTTCCAGTGTCTTCATCCATGGCCTTGCTTTAGTGACCACATTTCCAGTGTCTTCATCCATGGCCTTGCTTTAGTGACCACATTTCCAGTGTCTTCCTGGTACTTGGGGTGTCGCTGGAGGGAGTGATGTGCAAGAAATGCTGCAAGTGGGCTTTTGTAACATTTTGTTTGTAGAAAATGGGAACAGCTCAGTGGGTGACAGAATGAAAAGGGTGACACGGTGACAGCTGGGAGGAATCCCTTCATCATGTGCTTTAATTCCTGCTCTTTCCTTTTTCTAGTGTTTTAGATAGTCATGAAAATTTAATATTTAGCTTTCTTAGCCTTAGTGGCAAGTCAATATTTTTAATGAGACCATTCCCCAGAGTCTCTCTCCTCCCAAAGGCTCTGGAGAGCCAAAGTGCTGGTTCTGGCTCCTTTTTTGGCCATGTCCTGCTGGGTGTCCAGCCCTACCACAGCTCCCCTTCCCTGCACCAAGGCTTTGGGTCAGCTGGGTCTCCAGCAGTGGGATAAGTTATTTGGGAAGGCAGAGCTGCCGTTGGCAAAGATTTCTCCTGATTGTGCTGTTTCTAAGTAGCGTTTTTTAGAATCAAACATGCCGTGGTAAATGGGGAATTTGGAAGAGCTGGTTTTGAATCCATGGTCACCCCAGTAAACACCACCAACATCCATTCCGTAGCGAAGCTTTTTCTTCTTTTCAAATGCCAAAGCCATTGGTGGAGTTTGTTGCCTGTGCTTTGAATGTGTCAAAAATGGTATTGACCCAAACGGGAGATACTTAACTCTGACCAGAATTGTGAATTCTGATATGAAGCGTGTGAAGAAGCTTGTTACAATGGATAATTCTGTCCTTAAAAATTGCTCGAGTTTTGTTTCTGGCATCAAAGGAAACCTTTCAGGAAGGGTGAGTTTCTCTTGAAAGGACAACAATCACGCTGCTTCCTTTTATACCCTTGCAGATGTTCGTGGGCTGTCACTGTATCAATCTGCTTGATTTGTAATGTGCCAATTTATTTTTTTCTGATACTGGTTATAAAATAAAAGGTGAGAAAACCCGCCCCAGAAACCTGCATGTGTTTGGCAGTAAGGAGTTTCTGCAGTCAGCGAGGGGATTCCTGCTGGCAGCTGGGGCTGGGAGCTGCCCCGGCTGCCGGGGGATGCTGGCTCGGTCATGACGATGGAGCCAAGCTCCTTCCTGCTCTCTTTGTCCCAAAAATCCCAGGTGGGATGTGCTGGGAGCATCATCCGGGAGGGAGCGACTGCCCACAGCCTCCTGCTGCAGCCCACGGTGCACAGCACTGCCCAGGCTCCAGCACGGCCAGGGAAGGAGTTTGTGAGGATGAGGAAGGACACTCCGAGGAGAGGACACGGCTGAGGCTGGCAGGAAGGATGGTCTGAGGAAAGGACAAGGCTGAGGCTGGATGCTCCAAGGTGAGGACACGGCTGAAGCTGGCAGGAAGGATGCTCTGAGGTGAAGACACGGCTGAGGCCAGCAGGAAGGACGAGGTGAGGACATGGCTGAAGCTGGCAGGAAGGATGCTCTGAGGTGAGGATAAGGATGAAGTTGGCAGGAAGGACACTCTGAGGTGAGGACATGGCTGAGGATAGACACTCCGAGGTGAGGACACGACTGAGGCCAGCAGGATGGACACTCTGAGGAGGGGACACGGCTGAGGCTGGACACTGAGGAAGGGACACGGCTGAGGATGGACACTGAGGAAGGGACACGGCTGAGGCTGGACACTGAGGAAGGGACACGGCTGAGGATGGACACTGAGGAGGGGACACAGCTGAGGCTGGACACTGAGGAAGGGACACGGCTGAGGATGGACACTGAGGAGGGGACACGGCTGAGGATGGACAGCGCTGGGGATCTCTGGCAGCACCTTGAGCGGAGCCGATGAGCGTCGCCTCGCGCTCCCCGAGCTGCAGAGCCCGGGGGCTCATCCATCGCTGCCGCTCTCCCAGGAGCACTTGTTGGATGCTCCTGCCTCTGGGAACCGCCTCTGCCGAGCTCCGCGGGCCGGACACTGCCGTGCTGCTCCGAGAGGTCCCGAACTTGGGCAGGAGCTGATCCAGGCAGCCCTGGAGCTCTGCTGCAAGGAGGGGCTCTGGGAGGATCCCAGTGCTCAGGGAGGATCCCCATCCCCGGGGCCAGGCAGAAATGCTGTTCTGGACCAGCCAGACCTGGGCACAGTGCCACGGGCAAGGGGAACCCACCTGTCTGCCACAGCGTGCCACCAGCACACCGTGCCACCAGCACGCTGTGCCACCAGCACACCGTGCCACCACCATACCCTGCCACCAGCACACCGTGCCACCATCACACTGTGCCACCACCACAGCACCCCGCTGTGCTCCTCGCTGTGCTCCTGTCACCTGCCAGAGTCAATTTGCCCATCGCTGGAGGCACTTTCAGCCCTGATTGTCCCCCACGCTCCCGTCTCTCCGTGAGACCCACGCAGCCGTTCCCTGCCTGCTCCGGATTGTTCATCATCTTGACAGAGGCCAAATTGCCACCAGCTCAGGCAGAATTGAAGGTAAGACACCAGCAACCCGCTCCTTGCCGTGCTCAGCCTCCAGCCAGGGCCCCAGGGAGTGGGGGGCTGCTGGAGAGGCAGTGCAGGGGAGTGGGCTGCCCTGAGCCCCCTCCCGGGCACACGGCAGCCTCTCCCTGAGCTTTGTGCTGCCAAAAAGCAGCAGCAGCAGCTTTTTCCCACTCCAGGGCTCCCGGGCTGAACGTTCCTGAGGGCTGGGGACTACGGTGGCACCTTGCACCAGTGACATGTGGATGTGTCGTTCCCTTTGCAGCACCCCAGAGTTTTCCTGCTCAGGAGGAGCTCCTGGCTTGGTGGGACAGTGCTGTCCTGGCCCACGATGGTTTGGATGGATGTGGCCTTCAGGAACCATGCGGTCATCTCAGAACTTCCCCCAGAGAGTCCCCGAGCACAGGCACGCCGCTCTGCCCCGGAGCACCCTGGGGACCCTGCTGCCATCGAGGTGGGCTTGTCCTCGCATCCCGACTGCTTCACCCTTTGCCTGCAGAGCTCTGCACCTCACGTTGACCCTGTCATCCTGCCTGCCCTTCCCTGCTGCTGCTCTGTGCCCCCAGATCCACATCTCCTCCCTCCTCTGTGCTGGAGAGAGGAGCCCTGCAGGGACTCTGGTGCCCGGGGCCCTGCGGGGCATCGCCGTGTGCTCACGGCCTGACAGCACAGCCACGGCCTGCCTCTTCTCCTGCCTCTTCTCCTGCCTCCTCTCAGCTCCTTGAGCTCCATCCAGACCTGTTTTCTTCCCACCTGGTCTCTTCTCTATCATCCTTGGCTTTGCCTGATCTTCCTCCCCAAGGCTAAAGCCATCCTGATGGGATGTCTGCTGCGGCAAGTGGAATCTGCAGGCATCCCCAGAGCTCCTGATGCACGGCTGCCTCATCTCCCAGGGCTCAGCCAGCTGCAGCTGGATTGGTGTGGTGCTCCTGGCCTGTCCGGGCTGGCAGGAAAACCTGGCTCTGTGTCCTGGCCGTGCTCCTGCTCGGGGTGTGAAGGTGCCCCAGTGTCCCACTGGGCCAGGAGGGGCTGCAGGGAGGACACAGCATCGCTCCTGCCAGCTCCTTCAGCAGGGCAGCAGAGGGAGCTCAGCCATGGGGATGGGGTGCAGCACCCGCAGCCCCCCACAGCTCCTTTCCTCAGTTCAAGCTGGCAGATTCATCCAGGGTTGGAAATCCTGGTGCAGCAGAGCACAGCAAGGACCTGGCATGGCAGTGCCACACTTCAAAAGCAGAGTCTGGGAAAAATGGAAAACAAATACAGGTTTGTGCAAGGCTGGCAGGGCCCTGCCTGTGTCACGTCAGGGGAAGGTCACCTCCAGCAGGGAGCTGGGGTCTCTCCTGTACAGGGATATGCAAGAAGGGGAGGAGAAGCCTTTTGTCCCTGTTGGTTTAGTAAGGAGGCAGAGCAGAGGCAGCTCCTGGCTGCCAGTGCCCCTCCACCCCGCTCGCTGTGGATGAAGGGCTGGGGTGCTTGTGCTGTACCTCCAGTCCCCCTGCAGCCGTGGCTCTCACCTCCCACAGCAGGACAGCCAGCCCCGAGCCAGGCGCTCTGTGATCTGCAGGGCTTGGAGGAGCAGCCCACGCGCTCGCCGCGCTGGCTCCGCAGTGCTGATAGCAGGTTCCCAGTGCTAATCCTGACACTAACGTCCTTTCTTTCCCTTTTTTGGCTTGGGTGTAGCTGCAAAGTTGTTCTTCTTAAGAAACTGCAAGGAGAAAATGTTGCATATGTGGAATTTTCCTTCTCAGAGGTTTTGAAGTGCTGTGTGTTTTCTCTCTGTACAACCCTGGAGCAAATCGCATCCTCCATCAATGAACCAGTGTTGGTTAACACCATATCACGGCATCATTCAAAAATCAAGCTTAAAGCAGAAAGAGCTCTTACAGCTGATTATTGTGTGCAAATTTTGACATGGTAGTGACTGTTCCTGCCATTTCAAGGCATGTTGCTTCCTCCAGGCTCCTTCCTCCTGTGCAGTGCCGAGCTCTGGTTGCAGTGAGGTTTCTGCATGCTGAGAACTTCTCCCTGCTCTCTCTCTCCCGCAGCAAACAGGACAGGAGGGATGCTCCCTCCCCAACACGGCTCTCTCCTGTCCCTCTGTGTCCCGGTCCTGTGTTTCAGGCATGTTACACTGGTGTTAAACTGGTGTTAAACCGGTGTTCTCCTCTTCCTGCTGCTGGTGTGGGGCTGCTTCTGTTCTGCAGGGCTGAGAGTTGCTGCTCGGTGGCAGGAGCGTGGAGCTCCCATCGCGGCTCCCGGGCCTGCTGCTGTCACCTCCGGTGCCTCGCTCCTTCCCCGCTTTAACTCTGTGCTTTCCGTTTGACAGAAGGACAAACGCGACACTTCCAACTTCGACAAAGAGTTCACCCGGCAGCCGGTGGAGCTCACGCCCACGGACAAACTCTTCATCATGAACTTGGACCAGAACGAGTTTGCTGGATTCTCCTACACTAACCCCGAGTTTGTCATCAACGTGTAGTGGCGGCGCAGCCCTGTCCTCGCTGGCCCACGCCAGGCCTGTACATACTCCAGTCTTCCGGGGTTAGCAGCGCAGACACACGTCCCCTCCCGCCGAACTCGCCGGCCGCTTCTCCTCGGAGCCTTCGTGTCCGTGCCACTCGCTAGCTTGGTTTCCCTAGCCGGAGGTGTCCGGGCTGCCGGTTACCGGTCAGTGATACTTCTAGGAACTGTAGTTGGTGGTGACTAATAGAGTTTTTAAACAGAACTATACCAAACTGCTACGGTCTCTGTAATTTTCGCAGCGGGATGCTGAGATCCCAGTGAGCCAGCTACTCCCAAAGCGTTGCTGTGGAATGCTAAGCATGGTTGATCGCTTAAAGCGTTGTGCTGAAGCTTGCGATGAGTGTGAGCTTGTCTTAGAGGAGCCTTTTGTTCGAGACATGGATATATTTGATCAGTGTGGAAAAATCTGCTTCTAGACCTCTATTTCCCAGCGCATTGTCCATAGGGTCAGCCCGGCCCCCACCATCCGCCTTCCCCGCCTCGAACCACTCCCGTGCCAGTTCTTGTAAATCAGAGCAAACCTTTTTCTAAGTGAAAGCTGGGGGATTTTTGTAACATCTGGAACAGTTTGCAGTTTTGATACGCTCTGTCAGCACTCGCATAAATCTTTCACAGACACTGTCGAGATGTAACAGCTCTGTAAAGGATATTAATATTCTACCAAAACAAAACACATTTATATTCTTGGTTTACAATTTGCCAACTGAAAACATGCCCAAGACCAAAGGGCTGCACTGAGGGCTATTTGTAACGGAAACTTTTCTACTTTCCACCCTCTGCTATTCTCTTCCAGGCTCCAAACCCATGAATGTCACAGACATCTTGATTTCCCTGATTTCCACCAAATTCCTGGGGGGTTTAGTCAGTAATATTTTTTTTTAATTCTGAGTGAGAAGAGACAATTCTAGCAGCTGCTCGTGAGGCAGAGCCGTGGCGTGCGGGAGGGCAGGGGCAGGCAGGAGCAAGCAGGAGGGAGCAAGGACAGGTAGGAGAGGAC